TTTGACCAATGGGTGAGACTCTTACGAAGAGCAGACCTAAAAATAATCATCTGCTTCTAAAAAGATAAGAAGTGCTGATTCAGGAATTGGAATTGCTAGCTGCATTACTGAAACAGGCCTTATTAAAACTGTAAAAAAGAAGCCTGTTTTTTCCCCATGAGAATTGCATCAATTGCATCAAAAGGACAGTATAGCTTTGTATATGGCAACATTTTTATGCATAAGGAATTAGCATACTGTGTCTGCATTGTTTTAAAATTAGATGTTAGTTTAATCTCTGACACTAATCTACCAGAAGATGCATAATGACGTGCATGTGACATCCAATGGTTGGGTTGGTTAATCTCTTGCTTTAAATCTGGTGACTGGAGCTGTGAATGGGCAAGACAGATCTTTCTACAACCTGAGAAGGAAGGGCTCCAGGTTTGCAGAAAAATGTGAAATCTTAAAAAAAATAAAATAATGCTTTTGAGGGAGCTTTAAAAAAAACCACAAAATGAGAAAAGAAGTACCTGTAGCTTTAAGCAATTCATTCCCTCAGTGGCAGTTGCTAGACAACCACAGTATCCCAGGCTAGGTTTCTGTGAGTAAAAGGGCAGGGGAGCGGGCAAGGCCCTTTCCAGGCCTATTTTGGCCGTTGAGGGAGGACTCATTTAGGCCAGGCCTAACTAGGGTTGCCAGCTACAGGTTGGGAAATTCCTGGAGATTTTGTGGTGGAGTCTGAGGAGGGCAGGGTTTGGGGAGGGGAGCCAAATATAATGCCATAGAGTCTACCTTCCAAAGCAGTCATTTTCTCTGGGGGCAAATCTGTGTCTTCTGAGGGTCATTGCAATTCTGGGAGATCTTTAGGTCCCACCTGGAGATTGACAACCTTAGGCCTGTTAGCAGCCGCTGTATGCCTTGACAGCACCTGATTTGCATGACTCAGCTAGGCCTGGCTGTGTGCTACTTGTTCTGCAGCAGCCACCCTATGAAAGCCAGTGAGGTGTAGTGGTTAGAGCAGGGGTGACAAACATGTGACCCGGGGACCGGATGAGGCCTCCGGAGAGCTTCTATAAGGCCTGCAGTGGAACTGGCTATCTTCTGCTTCTTCCAGTTCTGCTGCTGCTGCGTCATCGTAGGTTTGCAGCTTACAAATACACACCTGAACACCATACTCAGGATTGCAACAGCACAGATATGTTGATGCAATAATTCAGAGCAAGAGGTGTCAGTTATCAGACACTGTTTAATAAACAAAATATTGCAAGAGTGCTAATTTTTTAAGCGTGATTTTATTTTAAGTATTTTAAAAAATTTATTATGCGATTTATATCTCACCCTCCCCTCAGGCTCAGGACGGCTAACAATAAGGGCTCAAGGCCATGCTTAAAACAATTAAAAATAAGATAAAACAGTACAATAATACAGTAAAGTGCTGGTGCTCCAAATGTCCATGATTCCAAGATGGGTTCTGGCGAGATAGACCCAGAACAATGATATAAGTTCCAAAGCGACGCTGCCATCTAGTCTGCATCCCAGGGCTGTCTAGCACCCTGATGGTATCCACACCTTTGTGGTGGCGGTGCGCTGGTGGTCTAGTGGTGGCGGCTCCTACTCAAAGGCCTGGTGGAAGAGCTCCATCTTGCAGGCCCTGCGGAACTGCGCAAGGTCCCGTAGGGCCCGGATCTCCTCCGGGAGCTCATTCCACCAGGTAGGAGCTGCCACCGAAAAGGCCTGGCCCTGGTTGCAGCAAATTTGACTGGACCCTGGCCATCTAGGGCTTTAAAGTTAAGAAACAGCACTTTGAAGCGAATCCGGTACATTATTGGCAGCTAGTGCAGCGCCTTCAGCACAGGCCGGATATGGTCCCGCCTAGACAGGCCCATCAGCAGCCTAGCTGCTGCATTCTGCACTAGCTGCAGCTTCCGGATTTGCGACAAAGGCAGCCCCATGTAGAGAGTGTTACAGTAGTCCAACCTCGAGGTGACCGTCGCGTGGATCACTGTGGCCAGGTCGTCTGAGCCAGCTGAAGATGATAAAAGGCCGACTTGGCAGTGATTGCTACCTGGGCATCCATCGTTATGGAGGACTCCAGGAGCACACACAAACTCCTAACCCTCGATGTTGGCACCAGAGGCGCCCCATCGAAGGTCGGGAGGGGGCGTCCCAACCTCGAACCGACCCGACCTAAGCCCAGGACCTCCATTTTCGCCGGGTTTAGTTTCAGCTGACTCAGTCTGAGCCAACCAGCCACGGCTTGCAGTGCCCGTTGAAGGTCATCTGGGTCGGAGTTTGACCAGCCACCTAGCATCAGATAGAGCTGGGTGTCATCTGCATATTGATGACACCCAAGCCCAGACCTCCGGGCTATCTGGGCAAGGGGGCGCATGTAGATGTTAAACAACATTGGGGACAGCACTGCCCCCTGAGGCACCCCACACTCCAATGGGTGCCTCCGGGACCACTTATCCCCTATTGCCACCCTTTGTCCCCGACCTTGAACAAAAGAGGCAAGCCATTGAAGGGCCAGCCCCTGAATCCCCGTGTTGGCGAGGCGGTGGGCCAGCAACTGGTGGTTGACCGTATCAAATGCGGCTGACAAATCAAGCAACAACAGTGCCGCTACACTGCCTTGATCCAGATGCCTTCAGAGGTTGTCAGTCAGGGCAACCAGTGCTGTCTCCGTCCCATGACCCGGACGAAAGCCAGACTTGAAAGGAACTAGGACTGAAGTATCCTCCAGAAAACCCTGTAGCTGTGTCTCCACCGCTCTCTCAATAAGTTTATCCAGGGGTCATTTCGTAGAAAAAGAGCTAGGGGGACTCATTAGCATAACTCATTAGCATATGCCACACCCCCTGACATCACCGGAAGTGTGTCCTCCCCACAGCCGGCGGCGACCTCCAGCAGGCACCAGCAGGGAGCTCCAGGCCCCGCCCTCCCGCACCTCACCCGGGGGGATGGCGTCCCCCCGCGTCCCCCTCCAAATGACCCCTGAGTTTACCCAAATAGGGCAAATTGGACACCGGCCAATAGTTGGCCAATTCGGCTGGGTCCAGAGATGGGTTTTTCAAGAGTGGGCGGACCATCGCTTCCTTGAGTGCCCCGGGGAACTGCCCCTCCGCAAGGGACTTGTTGATAATCTCCTGCGGGGCACCTCGAAACCCCTCGTGGCCCGCTTTAACGAGCCAGGAGGGGCACGGATTTCTGTCCTTTATAAAGTTTGTGTCCTTTATAATGTTTATATCTCCGCTACCTGGCATTACATTTTATGACACACATGGCCCGGCCCAACAAGGTCTCATTTATGTCAGATCCGGCCCTCATAACAAATGAGTTCGACACCCCTGGGTTAGAGCTTTAGGGTAGATTCTGGACTTTACAATCTTGTGCTCAGGTGTCCAAATGAATTCTGCTTGTATTGTCTGTTGACTGTTAACAGTGCAGATCTTCACTCTCCTAAGCCTATTGACTTCAATGGATGACGGATGTTGTTTTGCTTACGATTGTACTGTGAGACCAATAACAGAATGTCCTGGGAAGTTAACATTCCTGGTTTCTGAATGTCTTTAGGTAGTGTCTTGTTACATTTTCCTCTAGTGTGTTTATATAATACATAAACAGATGTCTCTTGTTTGTGACTGTGTATATCATATTGGAGAACACAACTGATTGAGTCCTTGATTGTATATCAAATGTTTGGTCATGTTATAGCATAGGCCAATTAGAGTGTGTTACCAGGCCTGGTTCCTGAGTTTCTCTCTATTTATTGGTCAATCATTTATTTCTAGAATTTGTATTCTGCATTATGAGCCCCCAGAAGCTCTTGAGGTAGCTGTTTGAGTAGCATTTCAGGTTGGGGTTGTGTTTCTAAGCAACAACAGGCCTCCCATTGAAGGTTTGCTCTGTATGTGTGTGTAATTTATCAGGGTTGGTACCCAATTCTCTAGACAGCTTCTGGAAGAGTTTTAATCGGGAGCTGTAAATAATAGTAAGGGTGCTGTGTCTTTCTCTTGCTCTGTCTGGTAGTAGGCTGTATCTATATACTTTTTCTAGTTTGGTTGATATGTATGTTCTTCTCATTGAGTGGGGGTTGCAGATTCTTGAATGCTTATTTTAGGATGTAGAGCGAATGCCAAATCTTATGGGTTAGCTATAGATGACTGGTTGTGTGAAATGCTGTGGGTGATAGCTTTGGATATGCATAGGATCACTGTCTTTCTGGTGTAAGGTCATGACATTAGCAGATGATTGGATTGAAAATATTGATGTATCATGCTGTTATTTGAGTCAGCAGTAAGAACTGCCATTTGACAGCCAAAAAGAATGACTCATTCTTCAAGGAAGCAAATGTTTCTCCTTTTAAAGGGATCTATGGCCTCAACTTTTTAAATCCCTAGCAATTGAGCCCTCTTGTTCTTTATTATCTCAGTCTTAGATTAATCAAGAATTAAAGAAAACATGGTTAGAAAACTGTTTCCCCCCCAGTTACTTTGTGTCTTGTAAAATAATCCAATAAAAGAGCTTTGTATACATAAGTGCTGTACAAATAATAATACAATAAGTATAAAAAAACACAGTTAGAGAGAAGGTATGGCATATTTTCCTCATTTAACATCCAAAAATGGGACATTGAGAATCTGTCCATAACACTAAGTGCAGCTGCCCATGGCCTTCTTGGTCAGACCAATGACTGTGTACTACTTTTGCAATCTGAGCTTTCCTGTTGGTATGTGAGGCTTCTGCCAAAGTCTTTGCTCATGTGCCTTTTCTCTCTTTCAGACTCTGTTTTTCTTGTGGCTTGCTGAAAGTGTTGCTTGTTGAAGTGAAAAATGATTGTCAGTGATTTTTTTGTTGCAATCATGAGCAATAGAAATATAGACTCTATAACAAAATGATTCAGTCGTACCTTTGGCTTCGCAGTTGTGATTCTCGATGCTCATCAGCTTCAACTTATTTTCTTTTTTGGATGTCAAAAATAAGTTCACAGAAGTCTTTCTTTAAAAATTGTATTTTAACATGATCTTTTGATAAATCTGGACTGCAGCTGAGTGTATAACACCTTTAGTTAGTGCCTGGGCTATGCAGAGTTTGGTGTTGGCATTTATAGCAGCACTAACTTTTTTGGCTTTAAGATCAGTTTTTTGAGCAAATCAGGTGTTTCACACAGTGAGATGATGAAACGAAGAAGAGAGCGGTTTGGAGCCCCATCGCTACGGATCCAGTAAGGACTGTTTTGGAAAATAGATTTAGTAGAATATTGTGAATCTATCAGGATCAACAACTATAACCTTAAATCAAGTATTATTTAAAGAATGTTTTAAGAAACACATACTTTGATTTAGCTTTTCATAAAAAGTATTAATTTATGTACTTTGCTGAGATAATAGAGATAATGCAATACCTAATTCATATTCTTGTAGCACTTTTATTTAATGGGGAAATTTTAAATAGTCTACATGTATCCATAGCTATACAGTGAATTATTCCATATTGAACTTTCATGTTTTATATTTTAAAACTATGTTCCTTGGGTAAGGGAATCTTGTCCCATCTTAATATAGCTGAATTACTGAGATAATTGCTTTAAGTGTCAGGGCAAAGTGAACTTTACTTGAACTTCTCAGAGTAATGTGCTAGTTGTATTCATTAATCCATTTTTAGATTAAAAAAAAAGATTGTGACTCTAATTTACTGGGATCCACTTCCAGGGAAGAGAAACTTAATATTTCCTTAGTATTTAAAGGTCCCGAGAGAGCCTCAGTTACATTTGCAGTTACAGGTCATGCAAATGCAGGTTGGAAGACTGTGTTTCATCTCTATAAGTTTACCATACTATAACATTTTGTTATGAAGGTGGAGAATAGTTTGCTTCAGTAACACATATATTCCCATTGGATTTTTAAAGAGGTAACCACTTGAGGTTTTCATAATCTAGAGTTTACTCATAAATGCATTTGGATCGATTGAGGGTTATTGACAATCATGTGTAACCTCAGTACATAGTGTAATGCAGACACAAATCCTAAAAAAACTTTATAGCTACATAAAGTAGGAGTTTCTGGGGTAGGAGTTCGTTGGGTAGGTAGACATAGGAGTTTATGGAGTAGTCTTGAAGTGACTTACCTCATTTCTCCAAGGTCAGAGACAGAGGGTAGCACTAGGAGAGAGGGTGTCAACTAGATACCCCTTAGTGTGTGGGGTCCCTATGGGGGCAATCCTCTCTACAATGTTGTTTAAGATCTATAAGTGCCCCCTTGCCCAGCTGGTGCAAAGTTTTGGGCTGGGATGTCAGCAGTACACTGAATACACCCAGCTGTATCTGTTGATGGACGGCCAGCTGGATACCAGCCCAACTAATTTGGCTGAGGGGCTGGGGGCCATGGTGGGATGATTGAAACAGAGCCAGCTGAGACTGAATCCTGCTAAGACAAAGGTTCTGTGGCTGGGTGTGGGAGAATCAGGATTGGGGTGCCAACTTCTGGCTCCTTATGGTGTGCCCCTAATAGGCACTGACTGTCAAAAGCCTCTGTGTAATTCTGTATGCCTCCTTGTCAGTGGAGGCCCAGACCACAAATGTTGCCAGACTGGCATTCTTCCAGCTACACCAGGTCAGGCAACTGGCCCCCTTCCTGTCTCTCCCCGACCTAGCCACAGTAATCCATGCAACGGTCACCTCCAGAGTAGACTACTGTAACTCACTCTACACAGGGCTACCCTTGAGATTAACTCAGAAATTGCACCTGATCCAGAATGTGGTGGCACGGGTCCTTACTGGGACCCCATGAACAGCACATATTCAACCAGCGCTGTGTGAGTTGCACTGGCTCCAGGTGGAGTACTGGATCAGGTTCAAGGTTCTAGCATTAACCTTTAAAGCCCTAAACAGTCTGGGATCCATGTATCTTCGGGACTGCCTTTCCTGGTACAGCCCCCAGAAGAGCATTGCGCTCTGCAGAGAAGAACTTACTGGTGATCCTGAGCCCAAAAGACAGCTGGCTGTCCTCGACCAGAGCCAGGGCCTTTTCGGCCCTGGCTGTGATCTGGTGGAACTCGCTGCTGAATGACATCTGTGCCCTGTGGGACCTAATGCGGTTCTGCAGGGCCTGTAAGGCAGAGATGCCAGGCTTTTGATTGAGGGCAGCAATGGTTTCCATCTTGTCTGTCACCTCTACTTCTTGCCTCCCCCTCATGAGGCAATGGCACGCTTCATACTTTTTAGTGCCATCTGGAAATGTCTTAACTGTTGTATTTTCCTATTCTTTTAAATTGTTTATTAATTTATGAATGTGTTTTTTATTAGCTGTTGTAGATTTTTCGGGTTGTATGGCCGTGGTCTTGGCATTGTAGGACCTGATGTTTCGCCAGTAGCTGTGACTGGCATCCTCAGAGGTATAATGCAGAAAGAAATTGTGAAACTGTTGAAATTGTGCTTATGTTTATGAATTCCAGATTACACAGGGAAGCCATTGAAATTCATAAACATAAACACAATTTCAACAGGAAAGAAGAGAGTTTAAAAATAAATAGGGCATGGTTTCCTGTCCTGAAAAACACAAAACACATCCGACAATAGCACTACAGATAAGATTAGAATTTGAACAGCCAAAAGAATCTCCTCAGGAAATGGGAAACCTCTTCAGGAAACAATGCATACACAAAAGAACCTCCTCAGGAAAGCTCCTCTATTAGCATGTCCACAGCCTGGCGAACTCCTACAAGATAATGACTCAGCCCTACATCACCTTCCTGAGTAGATATAAATTACCTGCCTACCATTTTTTTCTCACCTTGACAAAGAGAGTACTCCATCTTTCTGTGTTATACCTCTGAGGATGCCAGTCACAGCAGCTGGCGAAACGTCAGGTCCTACAATGCCAAGACCACGGCCATACAACCCAGAAAATCTACAACAGCTAATGAACTCTGGCCGTAAAAGCGTTCGACAACACAATGTGTTTCTTATTGTTGTACACCACCCTGAGCTTTGTTTGCACTGGAGAGGACGGTCTAGAAGTTTAATTTATACAATAAATAAATAAACTTGATGAGGACTAGATCCGTTATATGCTTTCTGCTCTCTCTGTGTATATGTATGTTTAAAAACTAAGCAGAACAGCACTGACTATTTCTACTGTGATACTTTGTCAGAATCTCCTCTCCTTTCCTCTCCCACTGCCGAGGAAGCGATGTCCATCAGCATGTGTTCTCTCCTACATCTGCTCCAGGTCTGCAGCATCTTAAAATCCCACTTAGTGCTGATTGTGCCCTTGCTACTTCTCCTCTAGTGTTTTACCTCAGCCCACAACCTCAAAGCAACCCTGGTAGTCCCTGCTACAACAATCCACTTCAGTGGAGGTAAGGAGAAATTTAGAGTGGGGATGATTGTTACTTAACACAGTAGACTGTAGCCTTTTACTTGATTCACCAAAAACATGGCAGAGAGTTCCTCTTTGGGCCAGGCCTCTTGAGTTGGAAAAGGCCTAACTTTCCTTCCTTCTTGCTTGGCCTCTTTCTGGGTTAGAATGGATTTTTTCTATATGTTTCTGCTGTTTTGTACTCTAAGCCTGGAAGACAATAGTCAGTGGCCTAATTGCAAAGGTTTAAATGCTGTTCCAACCCCCCCCCCCCCCCGTGAGGTATCCAGGTCTCTTCCATCCAGGAGCAGTGTCACCATGGTATTGGTGATGCAGCTGTGGGTTCTGCTGAAGTCTTCCCTGCCACCCTTCCCTTTGTACCATCTTATGATGGCTGTGGTAGCATTACCAATGGCTTGCTGCCAAACCCTGTTGATCATCTCTGTCCATTCCTGGGATCTGCTACTTAACTGCACTTTAACTGTAAAAGGACCACGTGTTGCTTGTGAGCTCTGGCTTGTGCCTGATCTAGAGTAAAGAAATAAGCATGATTCAGAAAAAAAAGTTTTGTTTTCCATACATCCATTTCACTTCTCAAAATAACAAAGAACATTTTATGGCCTTGAAATAGTGGTCTCTCACAAATTTATCAGAACACTGTGGTAATTGTACTTGGTTTCACATGGGCTCCTTAAATTTGATTAGTTGTGTTTGCTTACTTGAAGTGTTACTTTCCAAGGCAGTGTTTTAGTTTCCTGCCAGAACTGTAAGAGAGTGTTGTGAGCACTGTTTTCCTGTCATTTTGCCTCTCAGAAGAACCCAGCAATCCCTAGTTGAGTGACATCATAATTTAATAACCCTATTCCAGTCAATGCATACAGATGAAACAAGTATATGAGCAGAGAAATGAGAAAAGACAACTGGAACATAGACACATCAGTTTCTTGGTGCCTCCCGCCCCTTCTGCTGCCAACAAAGATAAAAGCTGGAATATCTTTTGACAATAAAGACAGTTAAGTCTCTCTTTGACTGAATACAATAGGAGACAGACTGCATATTAGAGTTTTTATACGAATTCATCCCCCTCTACATAGTTTCAGAGAGGTAGCTGCGTTAGTCTGTACTAGTAGAACAAAATTCAAGTGTAGGAGCATCTTAAAGACCAAGGGAGTTTTCCAGGGTATAGGCTTTCATGGGTAAAAGTTTAATTCATCAGATATGGTGTCTGACAAAGTGAGCTTTGACGTATGAAAGCTTATACTCTGGAACACTGCATTGATCTTTATGTTGCTACTGGACTTGAATTTTGCTCTGCTCTATGTGTGAGTAAAAGCCATTGAAATGTGTATCACATCTAGCATAATTTTTCATTTATTAGTTTGAATGAATACAGTTTTTGGCTCGTTGTGTATATTGAATATTTATTTTTACTTCTGTAGTGGAAGTATTTAGAAAACTTCTTCTGTTTAATTAGACAGTTGCTATATGTGTGTAGAGAGTAATAATTGGAACAAACGTATACAGCTTAACATTAGAGAGATTCTCCCCCCCCCCCGAATCCAGGATAGATATTCATTGAAAACCTACTTTTTTGTAGCCAGTATAGGAAAATTCATAGGTTTCATGTTGCATAAAATTTGATGCTGATATCAAGAATAGTGACTCACTGACTATCCTTTGCCAGGCAAGAGAATATGACCCTCCTGCATCGTAGCCCTACCTCTGGGAATATGTCTGTAACTACCATCAGGAATTCTTACTTTGAATTACACAATTAAACATTGTCTCCCACCATCCAATCCTATACAGTTTGATCAATAAGATTAATAATTTTACACAACTTGTATTTCATCTAAAGAGCTGGTGTTTCTGTAAGAGAATTCTTTGGGAAAAAAGGATGCATGTTCTCTTGTGGAGTGTACTCTGAGTAGTAGTCTACTGTTCTATAAGAAGGGAATGAAAATGAGTTTTAGGGTATTCACAGTGAAGAAGAGTGGTCAGGATACATTTGTTAGTGGTTTAGGTGCCACAAGACTCTTTGTTAAACAGTGCAGCTGGGAGGGGGTGAACAGTGCTGATGGGAGGGGGTGCAATTTCAAAGGGTTAGTTGCAGCTTGTGTTGTGCTAGTTAAGAGAACAATATGGAAAACATATGAAAAGAATAAAAATAGTGTTCTGTGTGGAAGCATGTTAATTGGGAGAGTTCTGTCTTTATCACAGAACTGTTATACTAAATAGAATGTCCTTTTAGCTGGAGACAGCTGTGCTGACTGTATAGCTTCCTTTAATCTAAGCTACTTTAAGTCCATAAAACTATGATTGAAATAAACTAGAAAAATCAAATCTTGATCTTGGCATGTATTGTAATGATATAAAGGGAGCAGTGTTCAAAAGAGTTTATAAAATTGAAATATGTGTAGTGTTTTGTTGGAAAGAATAGGAGCATCAATCAAAGACACTGTATGACAGTTGTGTAGAGTTAGTTGGGGCTGTTTGCTGTTTTTCAACAACCAAACTGTTAACAAGTCGAGAAATTTCTGATAAGGGAATGGTGGCACTAATATCTCTTTAAAAAATCCCAAGAATAGGTAGCATTGTATCCAAACAGGAGATATGTTCAAAAGGCTGAGGCTTTAGGTAGGAGGCCAGTGAGTTATGTTCTTGGCAGGAGGCCTCTGTGTTGCAGCACCAATGCAAGTTTCTATTTCAGTATTACCATGATAGAGTCTGTTTTATTACAGTTCTTACATTTTCTGAGGTTCTTGCCATCTACTTCGTGAATATTAAATAGCTGTGTACTTTTGTTTAGAAGACCAGCTTTATAAGGACCACTTAGCTTTGTGACATTTGTAAATTGCTGAGTTCACCTGTTGTTTTCACTTCTTGATCCTGTCTTATCCGTTCATTCTTGTTGACATTTTATTTACATGGATACCAATCAGTCACTCTTGCTGCTGACTTGAAATAAAAGTTCATCCTGTCAAGTTATTTTCTGGCACTGCTGCACTCTGTTTAACACCCACAGATTAGTTGAGTGAGGTTACAATTTTATTAGTTTGGTAGAGAATTACATTGTCCATTAATAACTCCAAGAAATGCATTGCACTAAGTTGTTCTTCAAAAACAGTTTACATAGGTTTCTTCCTTCCTCTTGTTTTAGCAGTAAGCCTTTCTGTGCTGACAAACAGCTGTTAGCTTGCCTGACTTCAAGTCTCTTCGTTATATCTGGTAAAAACGTTCTAGCTTTAGAGACGTCACATCTGCTTGGAGATTAATGTTTTATAGCTCAGACTCGTTAATTAACAGGTAATCTCTGCGGCCATAGATGTAAAAATGACCATGATTGTTAACTTTCAGAAACTAAGTTTTTCCCAGCCAGTGCATCAGTCCCCAACCTATTTGAGCCTGCGGGCTCTTTTGGAATTCTAACATGGGTGGTGGGCACAAGCACAAAATGGCTGGTGCAGAAGGCAAAGCAAGCCACAAAACATCAGGGGTGCCCTGACCTGGATAGCCCAGGCAAGCCCGATTTCATCAGATCTCGGAAGCTAAGCAAGGCTGACCCTGGCAAGTACTTGGAAGGGTGACCTCTAAAGAATACCAGGGCTGGGACACAAAAGCGGGTAATATCAAAGACACCTCTCTGAAACATCCTAACCCCTTTAGGGTCGCCAGAAGTCACCATGACTTCCAGGCTCGCAAGCACACACACACGCACACAAACACTCACCAAAAAAAAATCATGCGTAAGGTCAGAAGTTCTGTTTAACATCATACCTTTTAACATGAACATATTGTTTAAGAAGTTTTCTTGCATGCACACAACTTACCTTCAAAGATCCTTGTGCTGGGGTGGCAACTACTGCCAAAGCAATATTTTAAAAAACCTGCACAGCCAATCAGATTTCCAGTGGCCAGTCAGAATCCCTGCGGGGCAAAAGTCCCACCAGGCCCCACCCACTTTCTAAAACACTTGGCAAGTGCCATGGTATCTGCGAACACCTTTCTTGGGTCCCACCAATTGTTTTTACAAAGAGGCTGAGGCCTGGTGGGGCTTATGCTCAGCAGGGTTTCTGATTGGCCATTGGAGAGCTGATTGGTTCTGCAGATTAAAATAATGGTTCACACCATAGTGTTGGCTTTATTCTCCCTTTTATCCTTTCCAGTGCATTTAAAATATATATATATATTTTGTCCCCTGCACTTGGGCTTCCTGTTTGTGTGTGTGTGTTCTCTGCCCATGGTAGTATTCTGTAGTTGACTCCATCTCCCATGGTGGCAATTTTGTGGTTGCACAGAGAATTCAAAAGATGCCCACAGACCAAAAAAGTCTGGGGACCCCTGCTGTAGCTGAATTACTGGATTTTGGTGGTGCTGGTGGTACTTAGTTCCAGAAGCCAAGCTGCACTCCCTTGTCAGACTGCTGAGCATGCTACAGAATTCAGTGAACAATTCTGTAGCCCACAATCCAAGATTTAGCCAGAGTTTCTAACACCTAGGCTAGCATTTGTATTTAAAAAACTGTGTTTTCAAAAACTGTCACAAACCACCTTGGCATTCTTTCTTACTTGATGTTAGACAATTGTCAAATAAAGTAGTACTGCAGCCTGCTTGATGATTACCTCTCTGTTACCATCTATATTGAGGAGCTGTGGTGGCTCAAGTGGTTAAGATGCTGAACTGCAGGCTGTGGAAGGTCAGTAATTCAGCAGTTCAAGACCCGGGTGCCGCAAGACAGAGTGAGCTCCCGTCTCTAGTTCCAGCTCCTGCCAACCTAGCAGTTCGAAAGCAAGAAATTGCAAGTAGATAAATAGGTACCACTTGGGTGGGAAGGTAACAGTGTTCCGTGCGCCTTGGTGTTTAGTCATGCCGGCCACATGACCACGGAAATGTCTTCGGACAGTGCTGGCTCTTCGGCTTTGAAACGGAGATGAGCACCGCAACCCTAGAGTCGGATTTGACTGGCTTTCAAGCAAGGGAACCTTTACCTTTACTTTACCA